TTGTAACCCTTTGAGATTGGCTTTTATTTTTGCATCAGCGTAATGCCCTTGAGATCCGTCCACGTTATTGCGTGTATCAACACTTCATTTCTTTTATTGCTGAGTAGTTTTCCATTTAATGAGATGCCACAGTTTGCTTATCCTTCACCAATTAAAGGACGTCTGGCTATTGCAAATAAAGCTGCTGTAAACATTCGTGTACAGATTTTATGTAAACAAAGGTTTTCGTTTCTCTTGGGTAAATACTTAGGAGTAGGATTGCTGGGTTGTGTGCTAAGTGTCTGTTTAACTTCATGAGAAATTGCCACACTCTTTCCCGGAGTGGCTGTGCCACTCTGCATTCCCTGTCAGTCAGGGCAGGGTGCACTGGCTCTGCGTCTTCCTTAGCACTTGGTATTGTCGTTGTTTTTTTGTCTCAGTCATTCTAATAAACAGCTTCTGTCGAGTTGACGCTAGCTTATGGTGACCCCGTGTGATCAGAGTACAGGTGTGCTTCACAGGGTTTTCAGTGGCTGATTTTTCCAAAGTAGATTGCCAGGCCTTTCTTCTGAGGTGCCTCTGGATGGGTTCAAACGGCTGATCTCTTGGTTATTAGCCACATGCCTTATGTTTGCACCACCGGGGCTCTGAGCCATTGTACTAGTTGTCGTGATTTTATTTTATTTTTTTTGACTCAGTACTTTGTGTCTTGGCCCTGATTTCTGATGTGAGATTTCGTGGAGAGGCGGCTTACTCATGCTGGATGCCCATACCCGACACCTCTCTGAGGGAAGGTGAAATGAGTGTCTTTTTGCTTCAGTTCTCGCTGGTGGCATGACCTAGCTCATTTTCGAGCTTGCTGTTAGGAATGGATCGTTTTTTTCAGGTAAAATCCCACACAGAACATCAAGAGATAAACCCGGTGATGGTGGGGCCGTGGGACAGAGCTGGGCCTCCCTGCACCAGTCACCACACCACAGCCGTCCCCCCAGTACTGAGGCCGGCTTCTAATCCCAGCAGTAACGCCATCCATCTCTGGGACTTGCCAAGTCTCTTAATTCCTTAGGGTATCTGTCTTTGGTCGGAGGCATAGAGACGATAATACCTGTCATACCATATCTCCATATCTTACAGAACTGAATAGATAAAAAAGAGAAATTATAGGTATTAAAATACTGAAAAACATTATCATTTATGATTTATACCACACTATTATACAAATGGGGTACTGGTGGCACCGTGGTTAAGCGTTTGGCTGTTAATCAAAAGGTTGGTAGTTCAAATCCACAAGCCGCTCCTTGGAAACCCTATAGGGCAGTTCTACTCTGTCCTGTAGGGTTGCTATGAGTCAGAATTGACTCCATGGCAACGTTTTTTTTTTTTTTTTTTAATTATTATACAAACAGTATTTGAGGCAGCCTACTAAGATTGTTAAATGTGGAGGTTTATGTTTAAAGACAGAAAATCTGCAATCAAATAGGCATGTTGCTTAGGAGTTTAGAGAGCTTGGGCATGTTTCCAAAACCTGGGTTTTCCATTGCAGATGGTTACCTTTTGTTTGAAAAGTGTTAGAAATTCAGATATTCTTATTATGATAAGCAGATGTTCAAGTTTTCAGACAGTTTCCAAAAGACTTTTGTCATCCAACTTTAATTTTTTCGTTAACTAGGAATGCATTATGGTGGCAGTCCGCATGAGGAATAAGCCCCATCTAGTGGTCATTTTCAAGTTTGCAATTTTAAATTATTAAACAATATTTTGGGAGTACCAGTATTATTTTAACATAGTTCAAAAATGAGAAAGCATAAAGAGAGCAATATTCCCCATCTGCCCCCTCGCCCCCCATGGATGCAAAAGGTAAACACTTGTTAGTTTCTGGTGTGTCCTTGTAGAGATGTTAAAAATAAACACATATACAAGCAAATATATAACTTCTACACCCTATTTTCTTTTTTACACAAGTGGCAGTAAAAGTAATATATCGGTTGCGTGCACCTTGCTTTTTTTATTTAAAAACATGTCTTGCCCGTTTCTCCATAAAGCAAAATCGAACCAAACCAGTTGCTGTCAAGTCCAGTCTGACTCATGGCGACACTGTGTGTTGCAGAGTAGAACTGTGCTCCATAGGCTTTTCAAGGCTGTGACCTTTTGGAAGCACATTGCCAGGCCTTTCTTCTGAGGCACCTCTGCACGGGTTCAGACGGTTACATTTTCAGTTAGTAGCCAAGTGCTTAACCGTTTGTGCCGTCCGAAACCCAAACCAAATCTGTTGCTGTTGAGTCGATTCTGACTCATAGCAACCCTATAGGACAGAGTAGAACTGCCCCATAGGGTTTCCAAGGAGCGGGTGGTAGATTCAAACTGCCGACGTTTTGGTGAGCAGCCGAGCTCTTAACCGCTGCGCCACCAGGGCTCCTTGTGTACCCAGGGACTCCAATTTGCTCATACTGGCACAGGACGAGATTTTTCTTTGTGTGTGATATTCCATTGTATAGATGGCCTCATTTCTTTTATTAGCTCCTCTATTGATGGACTCTCGCGTGTTTACAGCCTTGTGCTATCCCAGTGCTACAGAGAATAACGTATACACAGCCCGTAGCTTATATTACTCCATAACAAACAAACAAAAAACCCAAACCGATTGCTGTTGAGTCGATTCCTACTCATAGCGACCCTATAGGACAGAGTAGAACTGCCCCGTACGGTCTCCGAGGTTGTCATCTTTACGGAAGCAGACCGCCACCCCTTTCTCCGGTGGGTCGGCGGGTGGATTGGAACCACTGACCTTCTGGTTAGCAGCTGAGCGCTTTAACTACTGTGCCAACAGGCTCCATAGCGTCTACACACTCCTGTGGTAGGATATCCGAAGGACACATTTCCAGAAGTGGAACTGCTGAGTCAGGAGGTAGGTTCACTTGTAATTTTGGTGGATATTGTCTAATTGCCATTCGTAGGAAAAAAAAAAAAACCATTGTTGTCGAGTTGATTCCGACTCATAGTGACCCTTTAGGACAGAGTAGAACTGCCCCATAGGGTTCCCAAGGAGCGGCTGGTGGGTTCGAACCACTGACCTTTTGGTTAGCAGCCGTAGCTCTCGACCACTACGCCACCAGGGCTCCCCATTTGTAGAGGTGCCAGTTTATACCCCTGCCCCTCCCCCGGCCATGCGTGAGGGTGTCTGTTCCCCGCAGCCTGGTCGCTGTAGCGTGTCACCCCACCGTCTACGGTTCGTTCATGGGATAGTAAAAAGCAACATCTCAGCGTAGTTTAGCTTGTGCTTCTCTTACTGATTCTGAGACTCGGGCTTTAAAACATTTAGATTTAAGTGCCATTTGCATTTCCTCTTCTGTGGACCCCCCGTTGAAATTGTTTGCCCACTTGTTGATCTGTTTCTAATGCATTGTGAGACCAGACCAAACCCATTGCCGTAAGTTGATTCTAACTCTTGGTGACCTCATATGTGTCAGAGTAGAACTGTGCTCTGCATGGTTTTCAGTGGATGATTTTTGGAAGTAAATTGTCAGGCTTTTCTTCTGAGGCACCTCTGGGTGGACTTGAACCTCCAGCCTTTCAGTTAGCTGCTGAGTGTGTTAACTGTTTGCACCACCCAGGGATTCCAAGATTTATTAACTAACTCAAAAAAATGCAGGAAGGGGACCTGTCCTGTTTCAAGAGTTTTCTGTTGGGGAGTTGGCCGATTCTGTATCCTTCAGTTGCTTTTTTTTGTTGTCTTTTGCTTTCCAGGATGAGGGTTGGGTGCCGCTTTGATTTTTCAGGCAGTTTCTGCTGACTGGGTGGGTGAGAGAAGGCCGAGATGGTTGAGTTGGTTCTTTTTGGGTCTGGGCCAGTTGGTCAGCTGGTATTTAGGAGAGAGATTATAAATATGAGGTGCTGTTCTGGTCCACAGGAGCCCTGGTGGCACAGTGGTTAAGAGATTGGCTGCTAACCAAAAGGTCAGCGGTTCGAATCTACCAGCCACTCCTTGGAAACTCCTGTGGGGCAGTTCTACTCTGTCCTATAGGGTTACTATGGGTCGGAATCAACTCGACAGCAACAGGCGTTTAAGGCTTGTACCCTGCTCTCATGCAGCTTGGACATGAACTTCAGACGGGGCAGAATTTGTGGTGGGCAGGCCTTTTGGGACATCCATGAGAACACTCTCCAGAATCTGGTCATTAAACTCTAGAGACCCAAGTAAGTTCAACTTCCATTTAATGGGGCTTACCGTGGGCCAAGGAGTCCCTGGGTGGCACAGATGGTTAAATACTCGGCTGCTAACCAGAAGATCAGTGTTTCAAATCCACTCAGAGGCATCTTGGAAGAAAGGCCTGGTGATCTACTTCCAAAACATCACAGCCATCGAAATACCCTATGGAACGTAGTTCTGCTCTGACACGCGTGGAGTTACCATGAGTCAGATCAGTCTGACAGCAGCTGGTTGGTTTGTTTGGTTCACTGTGGGCCAGGCCTTGCGTTGAGTGTTGGGGCGATAGAAATGGCTCTCACAGAGCTCCTGCCCTTAAGGAGGAGGGGATAATCACATGAATGGCAGCAAACATTTTTGAGTACTTACTGCATGCAGGCACTGGTATGAGCACTTGACAGCCCTCTGAGTTTTGTGCAGTCAGACATTCCTGTCTTACAGATAAGAGGCTGTGGGGATGGAGCCAGGAAGCAGGCCCGAGTGACGTTCTTCAGGCTAAGGCTGCGCTGCGCATCTAAGCATTATAATGTGTCAGCTTAGGTTCTCTGGGAGGTAGATGCCAAGAGGAGGCTAGATGTACAAGCGGTTTATGGGGGGCACCTGTGAAGGGTAAAGGGGAGGGAGCTGGAGCAGGCGGGGGAGCCTGTGCGGGCAGGACTGACTCCGGTGGCAGGAGAGGACACAGAGGTCAAGTTGGAAAGCCGCAATGCACTTAGAGAAAGTCTCAGCGGGCCAGCGGGGAGGCCCTGGCAAAGGCTCCTGCTGGGCAGGGATGGCCTGGCTCTAGAACCTCATCACGATCAGTAGTTGCCAAGAGAAAGGTAGCTTCCAGGTGAAGTCTGCAGTTAATCCAGAGGTGTGGCAGCGGGAGGCTGTGGATGCACGCTGCTCCCCACAGCAAGGTCTCCAGAAGGAAATGGACTGACCTGCCTGCGCGGCCGCCACGTCCTGTGCTACAGACCACTCCCTCCCCTGTGTCCACAGACGCTGCTCTGGAGTCTTCTCAGATGGATGAAAACACCTGCCGTCTTTAAAAGCCTGCGGGGGGGGAGGTGCTCTAGGTGCTCAAGTCTTGTTTTCAGATCTTCTTGTCAGGAAACCCTTCCTTCCTGCCTTCCATTTTCAACTACACTGTATTGAACTCATAGTCTGTGTTACGTGGGGGCCTTCTTTGTGCCTTCAGATAAGAACCACAACAAAGATACTGTTCTGTCGCTCTCCTGGTCATAGCATCCCCAAGGCTCTACTCAGAGTCACTGAGAGTTTGGTGTCTCACACCTGTTGTGTCTGTTTTTCACAGGTATGACTTAAGTCTGGATGAAATGAGAGCTTTGACGTTTCAGAGAGTGAAGTTTACCATGGGTTTGCCTCTGTTAAAACGTGCGATTCAGGGGCAGGTAAGTCCAGCCGTTGTTTTGGTGGTGGTGTGTGTGTGTGTGTGTGTGTGTGTGTGTGTGTGTGTGTGAGAGAGAGAGAGACAGAGAGAGATTGATCAGAGAGAGAGAGAGATTGATTAAAGACAGACAGAGAGAGACAGAGAGAGATTGATCAGAGAGAGAGAGAGATTGATTAAAGACAGAGAGAGAGAGAGAGAGAGATTGATCAAAGAGAGAGAGAAAGATTGATCAAAGACAGAGAGAGAGAGAGAGAGAGACTGATTGATTGATTTTGTTTTCTTTGCCTGTGTGACTTGCAGAAGTACATCATCTTGTCCTGGGGGAGGCAGACAGACTACGTCCGTATAACCTCCCTTTCTGCCCCACTCCTCGTTAACCTAACTGTCCCCCCCTTCCCTTGTCCCACGCATTCATTTCTCCTAAGGCCACAGGCTAGGACATGGAGAATCAGCAGCAGTAATGAAATATTTATTCACAATACCGGCATAATTTTAGGCATAAAGTTCTAATACCTGAGAAATGTAACTATCTCATTGTAGACGACTTTAAAGCATTTTAGACCTGTCCAAAATTTATGAGTCTTTTTTGTCTAAAAATTGCCATTCTAAATTCTTTGAAATTATTTTAGTCAATTTAATCTCATTAAAAAGAAAAAAGAAAAGAAAGAGAAGGAAGGAAGAAAGGAGGGAGGGAGGGAGGGAGAAAGGAAGGATATGTGGTTAGAGAGTTCCGTTTCGGTGCTAGCATTAGGAACTATGTACTGTGGCCGAGTTTACATCTCTTTTATTCAGCTTCCTGGCTACCTTAATTCTAACACTTTACACAGGTAACAAAATGTCTTCAGGTGAGACCCCCGGGGAAGGGCCTGAACTAGACTGCGTTTTAGCTCAGTGGAGAGCGGAGGAGCTGACCCTATCTCGAGGTGCGCCCCTGCCCTTCCTTCTCAGGTAGTCTGGGGAGTCCTCTTTCCTGGCTCAACCATGGAGGGGGGGTCTGGGGCTGAGGAGGAGGGGTCCCCCTGTTCAGGAGACCACTGGGGGCTTGTTTTCCTATGGAGTGTGCATCGGTGCCAACAGGGGCACGTGATCTATGCTGGAGACTGGGTCAGACTCTCCCAGAGGGATGTACCCACCCCTCACCCACCCTCTCCCTCTTAGTCTGCCCTCCTGGGGAGGCAGGGACTGAGCCCAGCATCTCCTTGTCAGGAGGGAATTATAGGCAGAGTCTTGGCGCCACCTCCTGAGGCCGTCTACCTGAGCTTCCTCCAAGCTGACGGTAGCCCTGCATTTTCACACTTAGACGGGAGCCTGAGGAGAGATGTTCACTTGGCAAAGGAAGCCTCACACAACAGAGTGCAGTGTGCTTGCAAAGTCTGAAAGGTCATTTCCTACCAGGCAGTCTGGCAAAGCAGATTTGCAAACCAGTACATTATCTCTCAACTGCACAAAGGTTACAGGGTCCTAAACAGAACCATAAAACCCTCTTTGGTTCTGCCCGCTTTGTCAGAGTCGGTCTCCAAATCAGGGTTCTGGTTGGAAGGAGAAATCCTGGTAAGTGGCCGCTCATTGCCCATCAAGTCTCTTGTTCCCTTAATCAACCCATGTCTGTGGCTTAATGTAGTGTGGTAAGGACAACCTGGACGTGAGGGTTGATCGCTCAAGGAGGTTAATTGCTACCCGACCCACTGAGCCTGATGAAGCGCCTTGAGCCCTGGCTCCCTGAGTGGTCCTAGGCAGCAGGGACAACTCTAGTCCTGGGATTGGATCTCCTCCCTCAGGGCGTGCTGGATTGGACCTGCGGAACCCCTCCAGGTTCGGTTCTGTTATGTGAGCATGCTTGGCCTTTCTCTCCGTGGGGACTCACAAAAGCCGTGAGCCAGAAGGAAAGTTAGCCCCGGTCAGCACGGCAGGCTGGAAGGATAGTAAGCGGGCCGTCAGCGGGGCAGGCCGGAGGGAGAGTAAGGGGGCCGTCAGCGGGGCAGGCCGGAGGGAGAG